TTAAAGGTTAATATTATAAAAAACTTTAAATATTTTAACAAAATTTCTCAATTTCTTTTTTATTAATTATTTGAATTATTTCCCCATCTCCCATTTAGCTCAAAGGTTTAAAACACATAAATTACGTATTATTAACTAAATAAACATATTTTTGCATAAAAATGTATGAAATTTAATAAAAAATTTACATAAAAGCAATAATTATTTAAATAGTCTTCCAAAAAAAATCAATAATAAAAATACATACATTAAAATGCAATTATTTAACCAAAAGAAAAAAATCTTAGTAAATTTTATATAACATTAAAAAAAAAAAAACCAAACATAAACGATTTAGCTTATATATTTAATTTATTTAATGAACACTTAAAACTAATACAGAAGATAATGTGTTTTACGAAATGGCAAATACATATAAAAGTAAGAAATGTTTGCTAAAATAATAACAATATTTAATAAAAAATAAAAAAACTTAATAAAAAAAAAAACAACTAAATTACTACAATCCCACAATTTTACCACCTATAACATCCAATTGTGCGGTAATGCCTTTCGATATGGAACGAGCTATTTCTTTGGGTTTCTGTAAGAAATTGAAATGGTAAGTCATTAAGTTAATTGTAATTATTAATATAGCATTATTATGATTACCTGTATTAAAGTATTTAATAGATTGGAAAAGGCCTCATAACCATTTACCAGACTACGAGAAATGCCATCAAACATGTCACCATTATTACCATATTTTTCATGTTCACTTATGGTATCCAAAATGGGTAAAGGCTGAAAATATTTAACATAGGAAACGTTTTTTAAAAGTGTATAATATTTTATACATAGAGACTCTATATTCAAAAAGTGCTAACTCAAAAAAAGTGTAGTTTTAAGGAGTTAACAAAAAACTGTTTAATTTAAATAATATTGTTGTAAAATAACTATGGGAGCTAACACTTATTTTCTTCCAAAATATTCTACTTTGAGAGATAGCATAATAACAAAAACATATATAACAAGTTAGGGACAATCTTTAGGTGAAAGATTTTTAATTTAATTAATTTTTTTGCATCAGCTGTTTACACTTTTGCATTTCGTGCTTAAGATTAAACCACCTCCATTGGGCGCTTAAACCTGCAAACAAAATTAACTAATTGAGTACTGAAAAACATCTTTCGAGGATTAATTTTAATTTAATCGCTAATCTTTCCCCTAAAGATTGGCCCTAAGAGTTCTATATTCGGTTGTACCGAATCTTATATATCTTTCACCAGTTGAAAACGAAAAGTATCAATCAGGACGCCGCTTGTTTAATAAAAGTACTAGTTGAAGAAAAAAAAAAAAGTACCAAAAAGTTTAATCTCATAAATTTTCATTATATCAGGATCATTTATATCAATCAAATCAAAAAAAGTACCATCTGAATGACGAAAAAGTTCCAGAAACTCGCCTTTTATAGACTTTCATTCAATCTGCGTGTTTAATATTATAAAAGTCTCAGAAAGTACCAGTTGAAGTGCGAAAAAGTACCATTGTTCAGAACAACATTTACCGTAGGTTGTTGTTGTTTTTCCTGATCTTCCCCATCCTGGTGTTATTGCAATCCTTCGGTGCTACCAATACCTCTAGTTCCCCTGTACTATAAACTGATGGTGTCAAATGTATCTTCGACCTTTCCTTGAAATGATTTGACATAAGGTCGAAGAATTGAGTCTTATATACAATCTAGTGCCGGAAGCACACAGGACATAGTTTCGAGACTTTTACTTCTTGCCACGGTTATTGGAGAGATCCCTTTAAGGCGCACGTGGTATCTGTGGTTTAAACTCAAACTCGCGGGAAGTGAATGTTGATTAAAAGACTGATGCACGTAAAGTGGGGCTAAGCGTTGGGAATGAGTTATTGCATCTCGGAAGTTATTCAACGTATCGGAATGGATCTTTTGATCCTAGCCACCATACAAAGCCACTTTCATATACTTATATAAATCGCTTTGAAATTCAGTACAAATTAGTTGTATGTAAACATAAATCCATACACCAAATTTTATGAGGATCGGTATATATTTGCCTCTAGCCCCATATAAAGTCTCACTCAGAAATGTATTTCAAGTCAATAAATTGCTTAAATATATCAGAACCAAGGTATAACTCAACATAAATTATTAATTATGAGACATTTAATATTCGTAACTGGTGTAGGGTATATATAGTAGGTTACATATAGTCGACCACGCCCGACATACTTTCTTATTTATTTTCAAAACTAAAAGTTTAGTTTAATAATATTTCTGCAATATGTTTTATTTTGTTTAAGTCCCTTCCTTTCGATTTTCACTCACCTGTGTTTTATCAAAATATTTCTTTTGAGTTTTATCGTAGAGACTTAAAACTTTTGATGGTACTCCCTCAGTTTCCAAATTGACCGACTCCCGGGTTTTCTCGGCAGCTTTAAATAAAGAAATCTGCAAGAACCAAAATTTAAGTTAAGAAGTTAGTTCGAAAGAAAGTTAAACAAACAAAACATTTCAAATTTGACTTAATTGCGGTTCCTGATTTTTGAATCCTATATACCCTTCTCCAAAGTGTATTAAAAAATAATTTTTAACATTTTTAATATAATTTTTTTATATTTTTTAAATACGTTATTTCCAATAGATTTTTCTAAATATTCTTTATCCGAATTTGAAATAAAAATTCTAAATTTCAATTGAGGTTTTCCAAGTTTAACTGTTAAAGTTTTATTCAATAAATTCTATATATTAATATAAAGGGCTTTAAACATTACGCGCAGTTGCAGTTGTGTTTTTACACTTGACCTTTTAGTTTTTTAAGAGATCAGTTTTAGAGAACTTTATACCTACTTTGTCTAACAACAAAAATGTTCATGGTTTTTATAATTATTTGTCACATTGTTATTATAAACGTTTTCTTGTAAAATATTTATGATCACTAAATGGTTTCCAACAATAAAATGTGTTTACATTAAAATATCAAAAAATGCGGCATGTTAAACAAATAAAATCATTTCTCAAGGTCATCATTAACAACTTAAATCTTCACACATATTTGAATTATAATTTTGAAATTACGAAATCGAGTTTAAATAAATTTAGTAGTAATTTTATAACAACAATGGAATTACCCTTAATGCACCGGAATCTGATGAAAGCTCTGCTTGTGAATGTAAAGCTAAATCATCATCACTTAATTCTGTTTGATGTGACAATTCTGGCTCGGAAAGTTCTGCATTATAGGAGCCATCACTATTTACCACTGGGTATGTTTGGCAAACAGCCACTAAAAAACTTAAATAAACAAATAATTTCGAAATAATACACGCAAATTTCATTTTATGTTAAAGGTTTGAGTTGGTTTTTTTTTAACGAAAACAAAAACCGTTAATTTAATAACGAACGAACGTACACAACCACACCGAATTGACTTAATAACTGAATTAAAATCACTGCAGAGTTTTGGAACCAATTTAAGTCTTGGTTTAAAAATGTTAAGTGTATTTTTTGCTTATAGTTGTTGTTGTTAGTTGGCATCGGGTGTTACAACATTAAAAAAGCTTTTTGTTTATATTGGTGGGTATATATCAGGGATGGAAAATTCACTACTATTAAACTATTGCCAGTATTTTTTGGGTACTTTTTATAGTTTATAAACATTTGCTAAATAGTCCTGAAACTGTAGACTAGTCGTTAAATTGTCTACAAATGAAAAGCTAGAAAAGCACATTCCAGGGCTTAGAGTAGTAAATGGACTACATGGGAAAGTCAAAACACTAACAGATTATTTCAGAGACCACTCCACAGATTAGTCCACAGACTAGTCTATGGAGTAGTCAATATATTTAGTTTAAAGACTAGCCAACGGACTAGTCCATAGACTAATAGAGTAATTAAGGGACCGGTCCATTGTTTATTTAATAAACTTATTAATAGACTACTTCATGGACAATTAATAGAATAGTATAGAATATATAATAGAACAAACAATTAACTAGTACCAAGACTAGTCCATCGAGTAGACATAGGCTTGTTAATAAGGTAGTCAATGAACTAGTCCATAGTTAATAAGGTAGTCCATAGATTAGTTTCTAGTCTAGTCCATCGACTAGTTAATAAACTAGTCTATAAACTTGTAAACTAGACAATGAAATAGTTCATAAACTAATCTGTAGACTATTTAATAGACTAGTCATTGACCTATTCCATAGACTAGTCAAAAGACTACTCAGTGAACTACTTAATGTACTACTCAGTGGACTAGTTTATATACTATTAAATATATAAACCAATGGACTAGTACATAGTCCAGTTAAGTCAAAACACTAGTCATTATAGTAGCCAAAACACTAGTTATTATATCAAATAATAGACTAGTCCATGGACTAGTTAATAGTCAATAGATTAGTCAGTACTCTAGTCAATAGGATAATTACTACACTGGATAATAGACTAGCTGATATATTCAATAATAGATCTGTCCATAGAAAGTTTAGAAACCTCAAATACATATAACAGATTCATTCCAGAATTTTAAGAGTCTACATTTTTCCAATATTTAAAAATATATAAAAATTTTAACGATCGGATACAATAAGCAGAAAGTACTTTTATTTTCCAAAAATAACTTTCTTGGGCTAAGATAGTACTATTTCAAACGTCAATTTCCCATGCCTGGTTTCATATATGTACATAAATACCTGACGAAAAACACTCATCATTCCAGGCATTCATTCATAATTTATGTCCATGACCATAAAACAACAAAAATTATAAATACAAAAAAAAAAATGGGTTAGTTAGTTAGATGATGTCTCTATCACAACACTAGGAAGGAAATGTCGTCGTTAGCGGTTAAGTTTAAATTAAGTCGTTTACTGTTATACTTATAATGGAATTGTCTGGTCCAGATACAAGAAAAATAGACTACTTTTCTTTTGATTATACATACGTACATACATACATACATGTAAGTATGAAAGCCTACAATGAAAGTAAACTTTACCAAACGCCTGTAAACCACACTTAAATGTCTTACGTCTGGTAGTTTTACATTCGAAGTTGTTGTGTAATAATCTTGTTTATTTGTTTGCTATTTTTTATATTTTGTTTTTACTGAACGACTGACTTATTGACTGACTTAAAAAAGAGGAAGAAGATGTTGGCCAAAAACGTTTTGTGAAAAGCGTTGTTGTTTATAAATATGTAGTTGGCGCCACAGCGTTTATGCTAATGTTAGTACAGTTTTAAATTATTGTTCCTATCGGCCCATAAGTGAACATATCAACCATAGTCGAGTTCTTTTCAAAACTTAGCCTCTATTGGTAAAAATTTTACTATAGCAGTGCTTACCTTAAATGGTACATTGAACATGCATATTATAAGGATGCCAATCACCAAAAGCTATTCCAGTACTCTTGCCGGCCGGTGTTGTAAGTGTTTAAAACATACGTCTTACACCCATAATAGAACTTCAACCTCTCGAGTCATGGTCCTAACATTTACGAAGTATCCAATTCCGGATCAGCATCACAGAGTAAAACACTCGTTTGTTTCTTGGCAAAGGCACGTTATAAATGTGGTGAGACGGCTGGAGTATAAGGCAACTATATGCAACCGCGTGATTCGAACTCCGAAACCACGTCATGAGTATTAACATTAGTGGGAATACCAGCTCCCCATATGCAGCTTCCACCGACGCCAGTTGCAGTTACACCTGTATGACACACAAACACTGGAATTTTTATGGGCAATTATAACACAAAGTTACCCTGCGATTATAAGCTGCCCTAGGGCACAAAGTATACAGAGGTGTCACTTTTGACATTTAAAAAAGTCCTAAATCAGCTTTTGTTTGATTTTGAAATTGTTTGGTGAGAAGAGGTATATAAAATACAGCTAAAAAAATTATTGAATTCGTTTTGTGCGAAAGAGAGGGAAATAGTTTTTTGCTCGTGACGCCTCTGTATACCCTGTCACAGGGTATTCTCACCAAACAATTTCAAAATCAAACAAAAGCTGATTTTAGACTTTTTTAAATGTCAAAAGTGACACCTCTGTATACTTTGTGACCCTGTGCCTAGGGCCTAGGCTAGGCACTGCTGCATTTCGTGCAGCACATTTGGACAAAAAACCGAATTTTATCAAATCTCTTTGGGAGAATTGCGGAGCATCAAATTAACGGCGCCGAAAATTTTAAGCCGTCCAACGATGTTTTTTTAAATTATGTCGGCGGCTTGACTTAGTCTCTACTACTGTTGCAGAAATTGATTTAACAGTTTAATTAAAAAAGCTTTCAGATAAAGCTTTTGCTGTTTGGTTATTTTATTAACATGCAGCTGTTAATTAAGATCCAAAGTTATCAAGTTGATAGCAGTAATGTTAGTAATAATGGACACTAAAAGCTTTGTAATGTAAAAATAAACGTAAAGCTCTGTTGCTGTGATAACGATTTAAAATTACAGTAGAACATGTATAATTCGACCTTTTAATAATTCGGGTAATTTCAAGGAGATATGGTTTCCGATTATCTAGAATATTAAAACGCTACCAGTTGATACATTTAAAGATGTATTTTGCTTTAAAAATAATTTTTTTTTTAATTTGTTGCCGTGTTTTCTTACGAAACAGAAATAAAAAAATTTTGAATCAATCTTTAACTCAATTCCATTTGTAATTTACCTTACAAATGGAATTAAATTAATTTAAACATTTGAAAAATAAAAATATATTTCATATTTGTTAATTTCCTAACACGATTTCTAGCATATGTTTCGTATACAAAAACTAATGCTGGCTGAATATCGCGACATCTATGAACCGGTTATAGTAGAAAATCCTTTTACTCAAGTCACCGAATACGGCGAAGGTCTTAGACAATATCATATAGGTAAACATTTAAAATTATTTTTTAATAGAAATAAACATATTTGCATTTAAAAAATATTAGGCTTAACCCGCTCTAAAATAATCTTTGGCTGTGATGACTTCGATGGCACCGATCTGGAAGATTTCGATTACAAAGGTCTAGATCCCGAAATAGAAACTTTCCAATTAGTAAGCCTCATGCCTTTGCAATTTGTTAAATTAAATTTCTTTCGCAAAAAGAATAGAAATATTATGCGCATTTCTATTTGTGGTGAAGAGGAGAAACCTATGCTATTTGAATTTGGCGGTCATCTATATAAAAGTGTAAGTTGGCGAAATATTTTTAAAATTAAAAATCTAATTTGTTTTTTTTTAGCTCTTCTGGAAAACTTGGCGTGAACGTGTTGCCACTATACGTCTCTTACATCCCAATCTTTTTCACATCTCCTGTTCTTCACCCTTTTCGAGTACTGATGTCCTGGGCGAAGAGGAACTTTGTTATGCTCAGGTGCATGTAGACTCGAATTATTCACAATCTTCGTGGAGGAATTATTCGACCAGTTGTAGTTTGTTGAGTCAATAGTTTATGGGATAAATGTAGAAATTAAATTTAATAAATGTATGTAGATAGTATAGTAACATTTACCATAATTATTTATTATATCGAAGAAACCACAGATAACTATAGGATGTTGATATAAAAATCGATGAAAGATTTTTCTATAATATCGATTAGACGTTTATTAAAAAGTGTAACCGATAGAATTTCGCATATATGTATATTTTATTGTCCACACGTTCGTTGGATGGTTGGTTGGTTGGTTAGTTAGTTAGTTAGTTAGTTAGTTAGTAGTTAGTTAGTTAGTTAGTTAGTTAGTTAGTTAGTTAGTTAGTAGTTAGTTAGTTAGTTAGTTAGTTAGTTAGTAGTTAGTTAGTTAGTTAGTTAGTTAGTTAGTTAGTTAGTTAGTTAGTTAGTTAGTTAGTTAGTTAGTTAGTTAGTTAGTTAGTTAGTAGTTAGTAGTTAGTTAGTTAGTTAGTTAGTTAGTTAGTTAGTAGTTAGTTAGTTAGTTAGTTAGTTAGTTAGTTAGTTAGTTAGTTAGTAGTTAGTTAGTTAGTTAGTTAGTTAGTAGTTAGTTAGTTAGTTAGTTAGTTAGTTAGTTCGTTAGTTAGTTAGTTAGTTAGTTAGTTAGTTAGTTAGTTAGTTAGTTAGTTAGTTAGTTAGTTAGTTAGTTAGTTAGTTAGTTAGTTAGTTAGTAGTTAGTTAGTTAGTTAGTTAGTTAGTTAGTTAGTTAGTTAGTTAGTTAGTTAGTTAGTTATGTTAGTTAGTTAGTTAGTTAGTTAGTTAGTAGTTAGTTAGTTAGTTAGTTAGTTAGTTAGTTAGTTAGTTAGTTAGTTAGTTAGTTACGTTACTACTTACGTACTAGTTAGTTAGTTAGTTAGTTAGTTAGTTAGTAGTTAGTAGTTAGTTAGTAGTAGTTAGTTAGTTAGTTAGTAGTTAGTTAGTTAGTTAGTTAGTTAGTTAGTTAGTTAGTAGTTAGTTAGTTAGTTAGTTAGTAGTTAGTAGTTAGTTAGTTAGTTAAGTTAGTTAGTTAGTTAGTAGTTAGGTAGTAGTTAGTTAGTTATTAGTTAGTTAGTTAGTTAGTAGTTATTAGTTAGTTAGTTAGTTAGTTAGTTAGTTAGTTAGTTAGTTAGTTAGTTAGTTAGTTAGTTAGTTCAGTTAGTTAGTTAGTTAGTTAGTTAGTAGTTAGTTAGTTAGTTAGTTAGTTAGTTAGTTAGTTAGTTAGTTAGTTAGTTAGTAGTTAGTTAGTTAGTTAGTAGTTAGTTAGTTAGTTAGTTAGTAGTTAGTTAGTAGTTAGTTAGTTAGTAGTTAGTAGTTTAGTTAGTTAGTTAGTAGTTAGTTAGTTAGTAGTTAGTTAGTTAGTTAGTTAGTTAGTTAGTTAGTTAGTTAGTTAGTTAGTTAGTTAGTTAGTTAGTTAGTAGTTAGTAGTTAGTTAGTTAGTTAGTTAGTTAGTTAGTTAGTTTAGTTAGTTAGTTAGTTAGGTAGTTAGTAGTTAGTTAGTTAGTTAGTTAGTTAGTTAGTTAGTAGTAGTTAGTTAGTTAGTTAGTTAGTTAGTAGTTAGTAGTTAGTTAGTTAGTTAGTTAGTTAGTTAGTTAGTTAGTTAGTTAGTTAGTAGTTAGTTAGTTAGTTAGTAGTTAGTTAGTTAGTTAGTTAGTTAGTTAGTTAGTAGTTAGTAGTAGTTAGTTAGTAGTTAGTTAGTTAGTTAGTAGTTAGTTAGTTAGTTAGTTAGTTAGTTAGTTAGTTAGTAGTTAGTTAGTTAGTTAGTTAGTTAGTTAGTTAGTTAGTTAGTTAGTAGTTAGTTAGTTAGTTAGTTAGTTAGTGTTAGTTAGTTAGTAGTTAGTTAGTTAGTTAGTTAGTTAGTTAGTTAGTAGTTAGTTAGTTAGAGTTAGTTAGTTAGTTAGTTAGTTAGTTAGTAGTTAGTTAGTTAGTTAGTTAGTTAGTTAGTTAGTTAGTTAGTAGTAGTTAGTTAGTAGTTAGTTAGTTAGTTAGTAGTAGTTAGTTAGTTAGTTAGTTATCATGGTGCTGTTTGCCTCAGTACTTTTTATCTCGCACTGATTACTCGTTTGTTACTATAAATGTTAAAGTAGGCGTAAAAAGAGGCGTGTCATCTACTAATGATCTGATCTATAATTACTTAAATTAAACGAAATGTTAATAATTTTTCGTTTGCTTTATTATTTTTATTTCTTTTTAATTATATACATTTTGAGATTTTATTGCACATAAAACTAAATTATATTCTGCTTATAATTAAAAATTTATAATAAAATGTAATTTTTAACAAAAATTTTCTTAAAGAAGCATATAAAAAACAATGGTAGATATTAAAAGGCCAGGCGAAATAATAATATAACAATTTATAATACATTTAAGCTGAAATTAGCAAAAATATACTTTGTGACAACATTTTTTTAGGCAAATTCGAAATGCTTCCGAAATTTCACTTTTTTTCAAAACATTCTTACTTAAACATTAACCAAACTTAATCGATTTCTCGGTAGATTTACTACTACTGGTGCCATTACGATTACCATTCTTTAAAATACCAACACCTGTCGTTCCAGAGGCACCATTCACCGCCCGATTATTTGTTTTCGTTAACATTTCCCCCGAATTATTATCATTTATGGATGATTTTTGTAATTTCTTAGACATTTCCTCTACCGAAAAACCATTATTGCCATAATCCACACTTTGGCGTTGTTGTTGTTGCAATTGCTGCTGTTGCTGATGCAAAGGACAATTACGCTGATGTTCGGTATATGAATTGCCATTGGATTTGCGTAGATTTGCACGTGACAGAGTACTTTGTAATTCACTTTGTAAGGCCTCATTTGTAGGTGTGGTATCACCTGAATCTCTACCTTTCTTTTGCGTCGTTAGAAAATCGAATTTTTCTGGTTCTCTTCTCATATTGGAAGGTTGGCGGTATTCTCCTATGGTAACAGTACCCAAACGTAAAGTTTGTCTATTTGCTTGAGTGTTGTTGGTGGCAGTGTTGTTGTTGTTGTTGAAACCATTGGTAGAGGCAGATGATGATTTGTTGGGTCTGCTGTAAGTGTCATTGCCATTGTAAGTATTTCCATTTTGAACACCATTTGTTAAACGTTCAGATGTTGTGTTATTGTTGACTTTATAGGTGTTGTTATTGGTCATCTGTAGAGGCTTTAGGGAGGGTTAAGAATTTCTTTAATATTATTAATCATTTTTTACAAATTGTTTTTTTCTTACCGGTGGTTTTGGTATATGACTATATGTCTCCTGTTTGTTTGGCTCTCTACTGTCCAATGTATCATTTTGCTGTTGTTGTTTTGTTTGTGTTAGAGAGTTTATTTTAGGTCCTTTAGATCGACAGGTACCAGCATCATCCAATATTGTGGTATTTAACAGTGCCTCCTTTCGATCCTGCAATGTAATAAAAATAAGAGAAGTAGTATTTTAGTCAATTAAAAAAAATCTATTTTATTTAAAAATCTATTCTCTTCTCCACTTATAAAATTGTATAAATAATAAGTTTTAAATGTAAATTTAATATTAACCACCAGTTTACTATAAAATAATAAATCTTTAATTGAAGAATCATCATTTCCGTTTAACTGTAGAAATATCTTAGAAATCTTTCACAACAATATCATGTTTATTTATATTTATAAAAATGTTTTCTGATAAACAAAGATAACGGTAAAATTAACTAAACAATTACATTACACTATGACATAAAATAATTGGAACACACACTGTTTTTAATTAAATTAACTTGTTGTTGTATCATTTGTTACCAATATTTAGTCATTGTAATCATAACAACAATTTTACATTTAATTACATTTTAATTATTTAATTTTCTTGTTTATATTTATAATTTTTGTTTTTGTAATGAATAAAGCGCTTAGACATTGTTTGACATTGCTTTTTGCTTGAAATGTTTCGATTTAGATAAAATATTTTTTATATTTTATTTAATCAATTAATTGAGAAATTTAAGAAATTTCTTGTTTACTCTTCAAATAAACTTTCCATTTCGTGTGACACATGTTTAATAGCTTTAATCTTTTTCGACACTTTTAAGACAAAAGAGGAGAAAAACATGTAAAATACGCAGTTTAAACAGATGTTTACGAAAAAAAATAACACTTTTGTTCAGAAAATAATTTCGCTATACTATTTAATCTGCCATACGAGGGTTTGTTAAAGTGTCTGGTTTAAACGATTTTCTAGAAAAGACCACATATAGGGGTTAGAGAGAATTATAGACCGATATTGATCGAGACAAAGAATGAAACCGGTATAAAATAAGTCCAGTGTATGATTACCGGTTATAAGTTCAAAACTTTATATAATAGAGACTTGTCAATTTATAATGAAAACTATCAAGTAGGTGGTTGCTTAATATTTAGACCAATTTCTTCCGCTTACAGTAAGTGTCTTGAATCTTAGAAGAAACTATTGGCATCACTAAATAAAATTGCATTTTATTGCTAAAACTCCTACATGCGAAGTAGTTAAGTCCCCATATATTAATGGCAGGGCCCTCGTTTAATGAAATTCATATATTATTCCTACACATAAAACCCTCGCACACACACCTGATCTTTCTCAGATGTGCACACATAAATAAGAGGTGGACTAGGTACACGACTCTCTAACGAATATGCATGTTGCTTATTTATGATTAACACACAAATATGTTGTTAGATGTTGTTGTTGCATTTAATAATTTGTGTAGCAAGTCTATTTGTTGTTATTGTTGTCTACATACCTCATAAGTACTCAAAGTTACCAAACACTTTCCACCACGAGCCGGTTTCATTGTTGCGTGTAACGCTGATGATGTTGCTTCATTGTCAAAATAATTTTGCATTTTTTTGCCGTGTTTTTACTGCAACTTCTTGTAAATTTTTGCGTTTTTTCAAGAAAATTTTCTTTTTTTTATTGTTGTTAGTTTTTCCTTATGGAAGATGTTTTAAATAATAAAGATTATATTCACAGAAATTGTTAATAAATTATTAGCCGCTGTTTGTAACTGATTTGTTTTTTTGCACGTTGCTATTCCACCGCACCATTCAACGTTTTAAAATAAAATAAAAATTTATATTTTTCTTAACGCACTCACTCTATTGTTGGGCTGTTTGACTATTGACTGTTTGATCGTTGGTTGAGTTGGTTGTGGTGGTTTGGTTTGGTGGCTGATAGCTAGTTGAATGGCTATTGCCACTTTATGGTGGCAATTTGCAAGAGTGTGTGGGAGATTGGTTGGTTGTTTAGTTGATGGTATGAGTAAATATTAAAAAACAAAAGTACTAAATTAGTTAGTTGTTTGGTATTGTGTTATTTTTCCATTATTATTTATTTTTTTTTTTTCATAAAAATATCTATTGACAATTTTGCACAATATATATAGACAATCTAAACAAAATGAGACAACAACAGTAATCAGTGAAAACAGATACAAAAAAAAAAACAACAACATCAAAGATAAGATAAAATATTTCTGATGCAGATGTTAGTACACTGCTACGAGTACTAGTACTCGTAAGAACCTAAAAATATTATTATTTTTTTTTAATTTCGTTTATGAATCATCATCTTTTTTGAAACCTCTATATGTTTGTTTTAAAACAATAACAATGGTTAAGACCCTTTATATTATAAATATAATATTTGGCTCTTTCGTTCGTTTTGTTCCGTTGGAGGGTCTCTCATACTCTCTGACATCTCTTAGTTTTTTTTTTTTTTTTTTTTGTGAAATCAATATGTAATAATCGATTAGCAGCGATAGTAAAATCTACAACAAAAGCAACAATAATGTGATCATAAAGCCAGATCTTTAAAGCGTAGCTTATAGATTAGTAGACTTTTAAAATTTATAACAAAAATTGTTAAAACTTGCGAGTATTAAGGTCGTATAAAGAATTTCCCAATCGACACCATTTTTATAGAAGATTATAAAGAAACTATATTTGGTCAAGTTTGACCCTATAAATATATTATAGTATAGACTAGAGTCTGGTCTATATTAAGGTCTATAGACTAGAATGTAGTCCGGTCTATGTTTTGGACAATAGTCAAGATTAAAGTTTGGACTAAAGTCTTGGCAATTGTCAGTCCTATAGTCTGGCCTAACGCCTAGACTACAATTTGGTTCATAGTCTAGACTATAGTGTGGCTTATATTCCAGCCTATAGGATAGACTGTAGTCTATCCTATAGGCCGTGGTCTATAGTCTAAACTTAAGGGAAGATTATAGTCTAGTCTATAGTCTAGACTATAGTTTCGCTTAAAGTTAAGATTATAGACAAGACTACAGACCAGTCTTGTATAAGTCTGATCTAAAGTCGGGACTGCAGTCTAAACTAAAGTCTGGTATATAGTCTGGTCTTGACTTCTGTCTTGTGTTTAGTCTAATCTGTAATCTGGTCTATAGTCTGGTGTTTAGTCAGTACTAATGTTTATGGTCTGTGCTCTTGACTATAGCCTGGTCTATAGTCTCGACTATAGTCTGGTCCATAGTCTTGTCTATAACCTGGTCTACAGTCTTAATTATAGTCTTGACTATAGTGTTAATTATAGTCTTGACTATAGGCTGGTCTATAGTCTTGACTATAGTTAAGACTATAGTCTGGTCTATAGCCTAGCCTTCACTAAAATCTCGTCTATAGTTTGGCTATAGTATCGTCTATAGTCTCGACTATAGTCGGGTCTATAGCCGCTACTATAGTCTATAGTCTCGACTATAGTCTATTTACTATAGCCATGACTACAGCCTACATTCTACATTCTCGTCAATAGTCTGGTCTATAGTCTTGACTATAATTTTTACTATAGTCTAGCATATAGCCATGACTACAGCATGGCCTACATTCTCGTCAATAGTCTGTTCTATAGACTTGACCATAGTCTTGATTGTAGTCCGGTCTACAGTCATGTCTATAATCTGGGCTATAGTTTGGTCTACAGCCTATAGGCTAGTGTTTAACCTGGTCTATAAACTGGTATACTGTATTATGCACTCTCGTCTTAACTATAGTCTGGTATATAGCTTGGCCTTGAGTATAACATGGATTAGAGTTTGGCTATAGTCTTGACTATAATCTCGTCTATAGTCTCTTCTATATTTTGGCTATAGACTGGTTCATATAGTCTATATTCTTGACTATAATCTTGTCTATAGTTTGGCTATGGTATGGTCTATAGTCTTGACTATAATCTTTGCTATAGTCTGGCATAGAGCCATGACTATAGTCTGGTCTACAGTCTCGTCAATAGTCTATAGACTTGACTATAGTCTGGTCTATAGTCTTGATTATAGTCCGGTCTATAGTCTTGACTATAATCAGGGCTATAGTTTGATCTATAGTCTATAGGGTAGTATTTAGTCTGGGCTATAATCTGGTCTACTGTATTATGGACTTTATACAATTCCTTTAAAACTCTGTACACAAGCAAAACATCGCAAATAACAAACATCTTAAGTAAATGTATAAAAATAGCAAAAAAAAACAGATTATTGTACAATATAAAGTTATTTATTTAACACCAACATTCGAAGTTTGTTCGAAATTCATGTAGTCGTGCCGTGTAATGGTACTGGGTACAAAATATTTTTCTGGTGCGAGTATCTACTACTATTTATTGCATGTTTTAAAGTTTTAGTATCCATAGTAGTTACTTGCTAAACAGAAAAAATGAAACTTACTACAAAACTACTTACTCTTACTTACAACAAATAGTCAAATAGTATGCGGCACAGTTGAAAAGTTGAAACTTTGCAATGGTATGGAATGGTGTGGTGTGGTATGGTGTGTCGTGTTATGTGTTGGCTTTTAAGGTCGTTGGTAAAACCAATAAATAAAATTCATAAATTAATAAACTCACAGAGATGAATGCACTACGAAAGACATACAGTATGATTGTTTAAATAATGTTTATAGCCGCGGATACAGGTGTGATGTGAAAATTATCTTTATATGAGTTGGAAAAATGAAACCAAAGCGAATGTTATTAAATTCTTTAAGCATTTTTGTGGTGACTTTAATAAAACCGAGCTTAGGGGAAAAATAAATAGTTTGAGAGAATTTGTTGCTAAAAAAAACACAAAAAGACCTTGACTTCAAACCCAGATTGAATGTCAAAAACAATGTTAGATAATGGAAATTATATTTTTGAGAAAATGTTTACAAATGTATGTAAATTGAAAGTTATACTCAGTCAGACATGTGGGTCTATAAAAGAAGAGAATAAGTTAAAGCTTTTAATTTCAGTTTTAGCTAATATTTTCCCACGTAAGCAGATACTTGTTTAAGTATCGGTTGTTTAATAATTGAGTTATTATAAATTTCCTCGATTAATATGTGTATCCGGAAAATTATCGGAAAAAGGATTTATGGTTTTATTTTTCATAAGAAAGTTATAGAAATATTAACAAGTTTATTCTGATAATTTTGAATTTATTTGAAAAATTTAGAAAAAATAATTGGGTTTTGAACTTTCTTAATGTTGCCCTTGGGTCCTCATTCTCAGTCTTATCTCATTCTTAAACAAACACCTAAAATTTAAGGTTTATATTTTAAGATCTTGTAAATAATAAAATCAGTAAAGAATATGGAATAAGATCTGATAATGAATTAATCTATGGTTTGGACTATAATCTAGACTATCTGGATTATAGTTTAGACTATGAATTGATCTATAGTTTGGCCTATAGATTGGACTGTGAATTGAACTATAGTTTGGACTATCTAGACTATGCATTGATTGACTATACTATTATAAATCGGGACTACAGTGCTTAGACTACAGTGTAAATCATAGATTGGACTATTTAGACTGTGGATTGATAGACTAAAGTATTAACTATCTAGACTGTAGTGTATATTTTAGTTTAAACTATAGTGTTGACCATAGATTGTGTATAGTTTTGACTTTCTGGACCATGAATTGATCTATATTCTCAGCTAAAGTTTTGACTATAGTAGGAACTATAGTGTGGTCTTTAGTTTAGACTATAGAGTCAACCATAGATTGGACTTTAGTTTGGATTATCTGGATTATGGATTGATCTATAGTCTGAGCAATAATTTGGATTATAGTATGGACTATCAGGACTATGGTGCGTACTTTAGTATAGACAGAAATGTAGACCCTAGTTTGGACTATAGATTAATTTATAGTCTGGACTATAGTATGGTATATCTGGACTATAGAGTTTAGACTGTGGTGTCACCCATAGATTGGACTATAGTTTGGACTATCTGGACTGTGGATTATCTGGACTATAGTGTGGACTTTAGTTTAGACTATAGTTTGGACTAACTGGATTATGAAGAGATCTATAGTTTGGATTATAGCATGGACTACCTGGGCTGTAGTGAGGACTTTAGTTTAAACTTTAATGTAGACCATAGTTTGGACCATGGTCCATAGTATCGACTATAGATTGGACTATAGTTTTGACTTTAGATTAAACTATAGATTTTACTATGTATTAGACTATAGTTTTCACTATCTACAATTGAATCTAAAATACAGTGTATACTATGAACTAAACATCATCTATACTCTGGATTTTTTCTGATTTTATATTAAAATGACTCACATTGGAACTTGTTAACACTTAAAATATCTTAACACTATTCAAGTCAATCAATGAAATCTGATAACCAATTCAAAACAGTAAATAGTGCGTGTTAAATTGATTTGTGTTTGGAAAAAAAAAAACAAGTAGTCAATACCACAATTACAATTGTGGGTTATTGGAAATGTAGCACGTGTTTACCACCAATTAAAATAAAATGTGTTAAATAATTAAATAAGTAATTTACTCAATTAAGTACTTTGACATTATAACTCCTATAAAATTCTTTTAAACGGTTCTATTTTATATTCTTAACCAAAATTTAAATTACTTTCCTAACTTCCGAAACATTGAAAACATGATTTAAAAACTTACCCGATTTTCCATAGAATCCCCACTGCCGCCACATTCTTTGAAGCCGTTCTTAAACATGCGTTTATGGGCCTGTTGAATTCATTCATTAAAGCACTGTGTTGATCATCCACAACATTGAGAGTATTATTGTTGTTATTATTACAATTGATGTTGTTGCTGCTGCTGTTGTTATTCACAGCTGCAGTTTTATGATGATCATTGCCATTCAATGTATTTGTGTTTAAATTTGTTGCTGCTGTTGGACTTGTTGGGTGATGATGATGTTGGTTGTGATGTTGTTGTTGTTGTTGATGATTATTATTGTTCTCACGTTTCATTTCGTATTGTAGTGGTTTCATTTCATTATGTGGAGCATGTTCTTTAAAGGCGGGAGGTTGACGTCTCTATAAACAAGACAAACACAAAACAAATAAATTCATTTTGAAAACACACCATTTTGTTTATAATATAAACTTTAATAAACAACAAAGTTATTTGATATTCTTTTATTATACAATTTGTCCTAATTCTGATTTCAAGCAGGGTTGTTAAATTTTTTAAAAATAAGCTTAAAATTTTGTGAATTTTTGAATACGAATAATTATTTTTTAAATTCATAGTATGAATTTTTAAATTTAAGGAAATATTTGGAATATTTTGCCAAAATTTCAAAATCATTTATGTTATATAATCGTTATATTTTTATTGATTTGCAAATCTAGTGTACAAATTGAATAAGTAATTTTATCCATTGAAATTTTAATATTCTTCAAGGATATTGAAATATATAATAAAACGTGTTAAATTTTACTAAATATATCAGTATAGTGGGGATGGTATAATGGCTTGTGCTGATGCTTGTAACGGTACAAAATATTGGTTCTAGATCCACCTTAAAGTACACTAATTGACTCAGAATCATTTTATGAACTATCTAAGAAGGCGGTTTGCAAGCTTACTATTAGGTGTACTAGTTCATAGAACTCCCGAGAACCAGTGCATTAGTTGATCGTCATCATTTTACGATCATCAAATCAGATACTCTAATTTAAAATACTTTCTGTTAGCCAGATTTTCCTATTGGCTTAAGTCTTTATTGATTTGGAAGAAAAGTGCCTGGTTTAAGGAGACACTATTAAGCTATTATGCCGAGCTTTCATTCAATTAGAAGATTTCAAACGTAGAAAATTCAGTACTTCAGTAATTTTGGGTAGATTCTCAAACTTATAAACTTTTTAAAAATAGTCCACAAACTAATCAATGAACTATAGTTTAGACTATACTATTCTATAAACTAGTCTATAGATCCACCTTAAAGTACACTAATTGACTCAGAATCATTTTATGAACTATCTAAGAAGGCGGTTTGCAAGCTTACTATTCGGTGTACTAGTTCATAGAACTCCCGAGAAAAAGTGCATTACTTGATCGTCATCATTTTACGATCTTCAAATCAGATACTCTGGTCATCAACACCAAACAGTTAGATTATCAGAAAGACAAAGTCGACAGTGATATCCAAAATTTGAGGATCAGTTTAAGCCACTAAAGATCCAACAGCCTGATCTAGTAATAATAAGAAAGGAGAACTTGAAGTGTAGATCTGATGATCAATCTGTTCAGTTTGATGATGTGTCCAGACAAATTTGTCTCTCATATTCTCAACTGAGAGATCAGATCCTGTATGCCGATCTATAAAAGTTATATATTGCTTCGAAAGTGTCGAATGTAAAATGGATACATTACAATAACCCAAAGCTAAAGAAATCGAATCAGATAAATCAACAATATGTGTTGCACCAACGTATTTGCCCTGTATTTCAGAGAACAAGTCCCAACAACGATGAGCTGCCGGTCCGGCGATCATAGGGGACAAGGCTCGATTATATGTCAGCTCACCCGCCTTCATTTCAGAACAGGTAACTCGAAATTAGGTCTTAAAAATTAATCGGAAACGCAGAATACATAAGTATGTTGCCAGAAAGATGGAAAAAGATCATAACTAAAAATGGTCAAAAAATGCAGGTCTAGGGTTTCTTCCAATATGGTCAAATAGCCACAAGTTTCTAAATGCCCTTATTAGCGTAATTGTAACCATTTCGAATCGTTCAAACAACTTAAAAATACTCGACACTTAACTCTAAGTACTTGCAAAGTAAAAAATATATTTCAAAAAAGTTATACCACTTACCGCTTTTCTCTTCTTAAGTTCCTCTGTAATGCACTTGAGAGACTGCCTCCATCGTTAAAACCACCAGACGATTTTCTCACTTTTCCATATTCAAATTCACATTTGAGTATGTTGAGTTATCGCCGGAAGCTGTTGTGGTCGCCGCTGCTTTATTCAATTTAGCCAATTGGAGATTGGCATATTGATAACGTTGCATGGTGGCAGCCACGCCACCAATTTTTAATATCGCCCTCCTCATGAGGTGGCAAACACTTGTTGAAAGTATTGCTAGAAGATGACGTTGATGTTGCAGAATTTGAGTTCAAATCAAAATTGTATGAATGATTTTGTGGCTGATGCTGATGTTGGGTGTGATTAACATGGCCATGGGTGGTGGAGGTGGTAATATATTGGGTGTTTTCGGTGTTTGATTAAATTTCGTTAGGGTGCCTTCCATGGCAGCTGGTTCCTCTCGGTTGTCTTTTTGTACAGGGCTCAAAGTTTTTCTTATGGTGCCTGTGCTCGAAGAAGGCGTGGCATTTTCCACAAATGTATTGTTTATGGAAGTAGCACCATTTTCGGATAATTTAATAATAGTTTTATTAATTTCCTTTTTAACATTTGTCTGTGTTGTAGAGTTCGTTGCGGTGCCGGTGTTGGAATTTTGTCTTACGGGTAAATTTGTTGCGGCCGTTAAGTTGGAATTTGCACTTCTTTCGGTTATGGATTTTGAACGACATCTACGCTGCTCATTGGCATATAAAGGTTGATTCCAATTTGCTCCATTTGAACTTTCCTCTCTGACGGCAGTTAATCTCTTTGATTTCACATCAGCCCAGCAGGGACTTTGATCTCCGGTTACTGAACTAGCTGAACTATTATAACCACTTGATTCTCCGGGAAATAGATCACAACCGGCCCCAGTATGCACTGTCATATCTAATTTATTTGAACTTTTCATAACTGCCACCGCCTCACTGAATAGTACATCTGAAAAATCTATACTATTTACCGTCAGAATTTGATCACCTGGTCTTAAGCCTGCCTCTCGTGCCACACTTTTCTCTTTTGTAAATTGTACAAATATTCCCGGTTTCCATTCGGGTCCCTTACAAATGCCCAAACCCAATTTGGTGCGTGGTGCTACATTAAGCACCACATTTATAACACGTTCACCTTGATTACGGCTGTGAGTACGTTCCGTACGCTCCGAGGATTGATAAGAACATTCGGAGGTGGTGGAACTAATACTGGGTGTCTTGACCACATTCCAGGTAAGACCATCATTTTCTTTGCTAAATTTTTCGAATAAATGTTAGATTAAATATAATCTCTTACCAATAACAATAATAATAACTCACTCTTTTACCGGCAACATGCCAACACTGCGTACTTTCAGTGTTAAACGTTCTTGATGGCTAACAAGTTGCACAAATTCTTTGTGTATGGCATCATCTATTCTGAATCCATTAATACGCAATATTTGATCACCAATCTGTATAAAAACATAAATGAAAAATAAATAACACTTAAAAATATTGTTTGTTCGTTTGTTTGCTTTAAAATGTTTTGGTCTAAACAGTCGTCATTTGGGTCACATTTGAAGTTTGTATGTTGATCATTTTAAGAGTGAGTGGTGAGGTGAGAGGCTTTATATGTTAGTGTTTAAATTGTGCGTCACGTTTGTATATATTATGTTTGTTGCTGTCTAGAATTCTTTACATGACGCACTTTCTGTAAATGGTACGTGCAAGACCTTCCCTGTAAAAGTTTGAATTTTAACTTAAATATCGGACATCTGGCTAGTGAAAGTAAAATGTGTAAATATTATTGCAGTGTCTCATTGTTTGGCTGTTCTAATTTAAAATACTTTCTGTTAATCAGATTTCCCTATTGGCTTGAGTCTTTATTGATTTGGAAGAAAAGTGCCTGGTTTAAGGTGACACTATTAAGCTATTATGCCGAGCTTTCATTCAATTAGAAGATTTCAAACGTAGAAAATTCAGTACTTCAGTAATTTTGGTTAGATTCTCTAACTTATAAACTTTTTAAAAATATTCCACAAACTAATCAAAGGACTATAGTATAGACTAGACTATTCTATAGTCTAGTATATAGTAGTCTATAGTATAATCTATAGTCTAATCTATAGTCTAATCTATAGTCTAATCTATAGTCTAATCTATAGTCTAGTCTATAGTCTAGTCTATAGTCTAGTCCATAGTCTAGTCCTATAGTCTAGTCTATAGTCTAGTCTATAGTCTGGTCTATAGTCTAGTCTATAGTCTAGTCTAGTCCATAGTCTAGTCTATAGTCTAGTCTAGTCTATAGTCTAGTCTATAGTCTAGTCTATAGACTAGTCTATAGTCTAGTCTATAGTCTAGTCTATAGTCTAGTCTATAGTTTAGTCTATAGTTAGTCTATAGTCTAGTCATAGTCTAGTCTATAGTCTAGTCTATAGTTCTAGTCTATAGTCTAGTCTATAGTCTAGTCTATAGTCTAGTCTATAGTCTAGTCTATAGTCTAGTCTATAGTCTAGTCTATAGTCTAGTCTATAGTCTAGTCTATAGTCTAGTCTATAGTCTAGTCTATAGTCTAGTCTATAGTCTAGTCTATAGTCTAGTCTATAGTCTAGTCTATAGTCTAGTCTATAGTAGTCTAGTCTAGTCCTAGTCTATAGTCTAGTCTATAGTCTAGTCTATAGTCTAGTCTATAGTCTAGTCTATAGTCTAGTCTATAGTCTAGTCTATAGCTAGTCTATAGTCTAGTCTATAGTCTAGTCTATAGTCTAGTCTATAGTCTAGTCTATAGTCTAGTACTATAGTCTAGTCTAGAGTCTAGTCTATAGTCTAGTCTATAGTCTAGTCTATAGTCTAGTCTATAGTCTAGTTATAGTCTAGTCTATAGTCTAGACTAGACTAGACTATAGACTAGACTATAGACTAGACTATAGACTAGACTATAGACTAGACTATAGACTAGACTATAGACTAGACTAGACTAGACTATAGACTAGACTATAGACTAGACTATAGACTAGACTATAGACTAGACTATAGACTAGACTATAGACTAGACTATAGACTAGACTATAGACTAGACTATAGACTAGACTATAGACTAGACTATAGACTAGACTATAGACTAAACTATAGACTAAACTATAGACTAGACTATAGACTAGACTATAGACTAGACTATAGACTAGTCTATAGACTAGACTATAGACTAGACTATAGACTAGACTAGACTATAGACTAGACTATGGACTAGACTAGACTATAGACTAGACTATAGACCAGACTATAGACTAGACTATAGACTAGACTATAGACTAGACTATGGACTAGACTATAGACTAGACTATAGACTAGACTATAGACTAGACTATAGATTAGACTATAGATTAGACTATAGATTAGACTATAGATTAGACTATAGATTATACTATAGACTAGACTATATACTAGACTATAGAATAGTCTAGTCTATACTATAGTCCTTTGATTAGTTTGTGGAATATTTTTAAAAAGTTTATAAGTTAGAGAATCTAACCAAAATTACTGAAGTACTGAATTTTCTACGTTTGAAATCTTCTAATTGAATGAAAGCTCGGCATAATAGCTTAATAGTGTCACCTTAAACCAGGCACTTTTCTTCCAAATCAATAAAGACTCAAGCCAATAGGGAAATCTGATTAACAGAAAGTATTTTAAATTAGAACAGCCAAACAATGAGACACTGCAATAATATTTACACATTTTACTTTCACTAGCCAGATGTCCGATATTTAAGTTAAAATTCAAACTTTTACAGGGAAGGTCTTGCACGTACCATTTACAGAAAGTGCGTCATGTAAAGAATTCTAGACAGCAACAAACATAATATATACAAACGTGACGCACAATTTAAACACTAACATATAAAGCCTCTCACCTCACCACTCACTCTTAAAATGATCAACATACAAACTTCAAATGTGACCCAAATGACGACTGTTTAGACCAAAACATTTTAAGCAAACAAACGAACAAACAATATTTTTAAGTGTTATTTATTTTTCATTTATGTTTTTATACAGATTGGTGATCAAATATTGCGTATTAATGGATTCAGAATAGATGATGCCATACACAAAGAATTTGTGCAACTTGTTAGCCATCAAGAACGTTTAACACTGAAAGTACGCAGTGTTGGCATGTTGCCGTTGGTAAAAGAGTGAGTTATTATTATTGTTATTGGTAAGAGATTATATTTAATCTAACATTTATTCGAAAAATTTAGCAAAGAAAATGATGGTCTTACCTGGAATGTGGTCAAGACACCCAGTATTAGTTCCACCACCTCCGAATGTTCTTATCAATCCTCGGAGCGTACGGAACGTACTCACAGCCGTAATCAAGGTGAACGTGTTATAAATGTGGTGCTTAATGTAGCACCACGCACCAAATTGGGTTTGGGCATTTGTAAGGGACCCGAATGGAAACCGGGAATATTTGTACAATTTACAAAAGAGAAAAGTGTGGCACGAGAGGCAGGCTTAAGACCAGGTGATCAAATTCTGACGGTAAATAGTATAGATTTTTCAGATGTACTATTCAGTGAGGCGGTGGCAGTTATGAAAAGTTCAAATAAATTAGATATGACAGTGCATACTGGGGCCGGTTGTGATCTATTTCCCGGAGAATCAAGTGGTTATAATAGTTCAGCTAGTTCAGTAACCGGAGATCAAAGTCCCTGCTGGGCTGATGTGAAATCAAAGAGATTAACTGCCGTCAGAGAGGAAAGTTCAAATGGAGCAAATTGGAATCAACCTTTATATGCCAATGAGCAGCGTAGATGTCGTTCAAAATCCATAACCGAAAGAAGTGCAAATTCCAACTTAACGGCCGCAACAAATTTACCCGTAAGACAAAATTCCAACACCGGCACCGCAACGAACTCTACAACACAGACAAATGTTAAAAAGGAAATTAATAAAACTATTATTAAATTATCCGAAAATGGTGCTACTTCCATAAACAATACATTTGTGGAAAATGCCACGCCTTCTTCGAGCACAGGCACCATAAGAAAAACTTTGAGCCCTGTACAAAAAGACAACCGAGAGGAACCAGCTGCCATGGAAGGCACCCTAACGAAATTTAATCAAACACCGAAAACACCCAATATATTACCACCTCCACCACCCATGGCCATGTTAAATCACACCCAACATCAGCATCAGCCACAAAATCATTCATACAATTTTGATTTGAACTCAAATTCTGCAACATCAACGTCATCTTCTAGCAATACTTTCAACAAGTGTTTGCCACCTCATGAGGAGGGCGATATTAAAATTGGTGGCGTGGCTGCCACCATGCAACGTTATCAATATGCCAATCTCCAATTGGCTAAATTGAATAAAGCAGCGGCGACCACAACAGCTTCCGGCGATAACTCAACATACTCAAATGTGAATTTGAATATGGAAAGTGAGAAATCGTCTGGTGGTTTTAACGATGGAGGCAGTCTCTCAAGTGCCATTACAGAGGAACTTAAGAAGAGAAAAGCGGTAAGTGGTATAACTTTTTTGAAATATATTTTTTACTTTGCAAGTACTTAGAGTTAAGTGTCGAGTATTTTTAAGTTGTTTGAACGATTCGAAATGGTTACAATTACGCTAATAAGGGCATTTAGAAACTTGTGGCTATTTGACCATATTGGAAGAAACCCTAGACCTGCATTTTTTGACCATTTTTAGTTATGATCTTTTTCCATCTTTCTGGCAACATACTTATGTATTCTGCGTTTCCGATTTTTTTAAGACCTAATTTCGAGTTACCTGTTCTGAAATGAAGGCGGGTGAGCTGACATATAATCGAGCCTTGTCCCCTATGATCGCCGGACCGGCAGCTCATCGTTGTTGGGACTTGTTCTCTGAAATACAGGGCAAATACGTTGGTGCAACACATATTGTTGATTTATCTGATTCGATTTCTTTAGCTTTGGGTTATTGTAATGTATCCATTTTACATTCGACACTTTCGAAGCAATATATAACTTTTATAGATCGGCATACAGGATCTGATCTCTCAGTTGAGAATATGAGAGACAAATTTGTCTGGACACATCATCAAACTGAACAGATTGATCATCAGATCTACACTTCAAGTTCTCCTTTCTTATTATTACTAGATCAGGCTGTTGGATCTTTAGTGGCTTAAACTGATCCTCAAATTTTGGATATCACTGTCGACTTTGTCTTTCTGATAATCTAACTGTTTGGTGTTGATGACCAGAGTATCTGATTTGAAGATCGTAAAATGATGACGATCAAGTAATGCACTTTTTCTCGGGAGTTCTATGAACTAGTACACCGAATAGTAAGCTTGCAAACCGCCTTCTTAGATAGTTCATAAAATGATTCTGAGTCAATTAGTGTACTTTAAGGTGGATCTATAGACTAGTTTATAGAATAGTATAGTCTAAACTATAGTTCATTGATTAGTTTGTGGACTATTTTAAAAAGTTTATAAGTTTGAGAATCTACCCAAAATTACTGAAGTACTGAATTTTCTACGTTTGAAATCTTCTAATTGAATGA